TAAGGAGAGGTGTTTCCTCTTAAGAAGGCAAAGGCTTCTGCCTACATGTTTAGGAATGGCCTCAGGCAAAGTCAGACTTTCACCAAAGTATGCCTGGATCATGGTGCCATGATCAACGAAAGCTCCATCTCTACACCCCATTCCATAAGATTGACTCATGAAATTCTTGTAATCTTTACACAAGGGGATAAGAAACAACAAACACATATTCAATTTTTATATAAAACAAGGGTTAAAAGTGTTTATTTCTGGAGGTGGGTCCACCTACAATCATGGTCTTCCACTCCCCCTCCTCAGTGAGGGAGGGCCACTTGTACTTCTTGGATTCCTTGATGGCTTGGCAGCGGTCATTCTGGGCCTGGACACATCAAGCCAATGTTACTACTGGCTCATAAGTTATATATTCCTCTCTCTTCTTCTTTCTTATCTCCACTCAACAATCATATCAGGGTATCAAGCTTGTAGAGCTTGTTGATGATGTATGGTGGGGGATGAGTACAGCTCATCAATGGATGAGCCAATACAGTCAATAATCTGTTTTGGGGTTGTAGGTTGAGAATTGCATAACAACAATCATGACTGGATGAGGTAGAAAGCGTCTGCCTTTGTCATTAAGACTGGGAGCATTATTCAATGGCAGGCCGACTTAGCTCCAAAGAAATGGCCGCCTCTGACATGAGGATCAGACGCCATGTGCAGCCGCTCCCAACAAATGCTGCTCATCCTGTATCCCTGGATTAGGAGCCCTTACAGGGTACTATCAGCCCGGCCAGCTTACCCAGGTTTTTTTGGCGAGCTTGTTACGGCTCCCCCTTCTCCTTTTTCGACTGGGCAGGAGACCAGCAAAGGCGGAGTTTAAACATTCCTTTTACTTTAGATCCCTCGCTATATACCCAAAAATTCAGATTAGCCTATTAAAGAGCCTTTTGCTTTTTAGAGAAATAAAGAACAACCTCCATTGATGCCACCTTTTTATAAAAAACGTTTTCTTCGTCAAAATTACCATTTTTACAACCATCATGATTTCCAGACTTAAGTCTGATCGTCTAAAGACAATGTCTTTCCAGAATGGTTGCAAGGTTTATCCACTATGTACTAAGTGTCAACCTACAACTCCAAACTACATCAGTGACTGCATTGGCTTATCCATTGATGAGCTCTACTCATTCCCAGCAGACACCATCAACAAGCTCTACAGGCTTGATACCTACCCTAATATGATTGTGAGTGGAGATAAGATTTTTACAAATAGGCATCCATCTCTGTGGTAAGAGGACACCTCTCTCTCTCTCTCTCTAAAGGAAACTTTGGCTCTGCAACTAGGTGTCTTCTACAGAGATGTTCTCTAATGTAATAAACTTATTTCAAATATTTTTTATTCATTTATTAAAACTCTCTTCCATGTATTTTCATCGTTTGTAGTTACTAGACATGAAAGACATTGCTGACAGTGTTGGAGGGAAAGCTCCAGGGGAAGAGATCAAGGGCAAGGAGACGACAGGGATACACAGAAGGTCTAAAACAATGGACTGGACGACACGAGGAGATGAAGAGGATGGCGGAGGAGGTATGGAGAGACCATGTGGCCCACCCTCAGTAGAGGAAGGCACTGAAGGAGGGAGATATGGAGAGACCATGTGGCCCACCCTCAGTAGAGGAATGCATTGAAGGAAGACATGAAAGAGTACCTAAATGGAACCATGGCCTCATCTCTCCACCATAGGAAGGGGGTCTAGTTATATTTTATTTTACAAATGGAAGCCAACCCACCTCAAAGTTGAAGATGACCGCCTCATCGTAGTACTGGTAGACATAGGTGACAGCTCCGGGCTTCACCAGCTTGACAGAGTAGGACAGCGTGGCGGCACACATCCCTCCTGAGGCTGCCAGGTAGGAGCCTTTTGGCTGCCAGCCAAAACTGCCATACACCAGGGTTGGTTGGTTAGTACACAGGGCTGGATGGCTCTCACAGGGAATTCCACACACACAAACTCACTATTCAAATCTATCAGCGGCTTTAACTCCGCCTTTGCCAGTCTCAAACCCGGATGAAAAAGGAGGAGGGGGAGCAGTAACAAGCTCACTAAAAAACCTGGGCTCAGCTGGCCCGGCTGATAGTACCCTGTAAGGGCTCCAGGGATACAGGATGAGCAGCGTTTGTACTCCATGTTAGAAGCGGCTGTACATGGCATCTGTTCCTCATGTCAGAGGTGGCCATTTCTTTTGGAGCTAAGTCGGCTTGCCACTGAGTAGTGCTCCCAGTCATAATGACAAAGGCATTCTACTTCACCCAGTCTCAAGCTCCACAAGCTTGATACCCTAATATGATTGAGTAAAGATAAGAAAGAAGAAGAAGATCAGCGGCATTGATTTACTAACAAATGCATGGGTCATATTTACTGTATTAAATCCATTTTCAAATATTGTGAATATTGTGGAAACCCTTCCAAAATAAATGTGTACTTTCGTAGATGTCAAAATATAGTTAGATGTGATATACTACCTTGAGTGTAAAGAAGGTTATAGAACTTAATACACACTGTATAGAACCTCCATAAGAGGACACTCTCACTAGAAAACACCTCTCCCTAAAGGATACTTTGGCCCTACAATTAAGATGTCCTTTACAGAGAGGTAGTTTTACTGTACAAGGCTTTTGATCAAATTGTCTTTTTAGAAGAGCTGCTATGAAGAGCCTCCATCTGCCCTTGTTTTGAAATCAGAGTTGATAAGGTACAATTTGGATTATAGATTATAAACACAAGGTAATAAGATCAAATCCAAATAAATAAATAGTGTGAGATGTTTCGGTAACAGCATTGTTACCATCTTCAGACAAAAGTACTGAATGACTACATACTACATTCAGTAATTTTGTCTGAAGATGGTAACAACGCTTTTACTGAAACGTCACACACTATTTATTTATTTGGATTTGGTCTTTTTACCTTGTGTTTGAAATCAGAGTTTTTACTTTTCCAAGGTGAAGTGTCAGGCCAAGGAACTTCATTTGCTTTTGCTACATAAATAAAAATTGTGAAATTGTAATGGTCTCTCCCAAAGCAGGATAGTCTCTAGAAGGATTTGTCCAAAATGCCTATCTAGGAAAAAACAATGGTTGCCTGTAAAGTCGGTTTTACGGGCGAAGATTTTACGTGACAACAGTAGAATATTTATTGATATGAATATAATTAAATTGCACAATAGGAACAAGGAATTGAATGAAAATAAGAATTGCACAAATTTTAACTATAGAAATATATTTTGTTTACTAAAACATTGTACATGTAAACTTAAACTTAACTAATTCCTATTTGAGTGATTTTGTTGAGGATAGGACGATGATAGGAGAAATATGAAATGAAAGGAAGTGTTTCTGCTGTAATGTGTCTTGCGAAAGTCAAGTCGATAGTTGTTCCTTTTAACGTAGTTGACTTAGAAACGTTTGATACGCAATCAAGATTATACGTATTTTTCATGAATTTAAGAAACGAGTTGTCAGGCTTTACGTTTTTGTTAAAATCACCACACAGAAGAATCGGTATACTAGAATCAACTTGCACGAACGGTGGCACGTACTGGCTGTTGTGAATGTACGGACCGAGTCCTTGCCATAGTAACATTCCAATATCCTGCATACTAGCTCCTGGATGAATATATACAGCACCGAGTATAAACTTGAAGCTAGTATTAGCGGCGAAGCAAGTAACTTCAGTCATGCACATGTCACCCTTGGTTTTAATGACACGAGTTACGTCTGTAATCGCAACTTGGAACACTTCCGCCGTAGATGTCGATGATAATTTACGATAGATCGCCACTCCACCAGCCGCGTTGGTATTTGAAAATCAAAACACTTATTCAGATCGAAGGTTCAAATTTTTGCTAAATAAATTTGAAATTAAATAAAATTTGTAATTGTAAATGATGAAGTTGAAAATGAAAACATTTACTTAAATTAGATGTTAAAATTCTTGCTCAACACAGTTTAAATAAAGTTTTCTTATATCTGCCACTTTTTCTTAATATTTGTAATTTTAAAGAATCAATTCGAAAATCAAAACATTTATTCAGATCGAAGGTTCAAATTTTTGCTAAATAAATTTGAAACTATTTAAAATTTGTAAAATAATAATTAATTAATTAATTAATTTTAAACTAATAATTTACTTAACACTATCAACATTTATCAATAGTATGACATAACCTATAAACTCAGTTTCTCAACTTTTGTGTCAATCTAACAATTAATCAATCAATCATAGTTTACGATAATGAAATATCAGTGTACAATTATTTACCTTTATTGTTGTAGTTGTTGTAAATGACGAATCTAAGCACTCCACATTTTCACTACAGACACAGCTGACAATACTTTAACCACACGTGTGAACTTGTATTATGACGCTTTCTTGTTTTTCCAACGCCAAGAGCGTTCGAGAAAGACAAAGACAGAGACAAGCATGCGCCGATTCAATGCGCCTAATTCTCTAGCGCTGCGCGCGCAGCACTCTCGTTCGGTGACTCATCGTAACGTTACCGGGCGTTACACTTTTTCATAAGTGACTCCCAGCCGCAACCTAATTTAAGACGTTGTCACGTCAAAAGACAGTGCTAGAATCCTAACTTAAGGTAACAAGGCCAAATCTCCCAAATAAACTGGAGACGCCAGTTATGTAAATTTCTCTTTTTTTGCTTATTTATTCAGAAGATTTAAATATTTGTAAATATAATTCTGTATATAAGGATGTTTAATAAAAGTGTGTCAGTTATAAATGGGGTGTTGACGAATTATTAGTGCCATCAGTGTGTTGTGGGCACTTTTAAGGAAGCAAATAGGCTTCGGTTGGAGACAGAAGAAGTCTGGCAAGAAGATACAGTCAACACAACTATTTAGATAAGGCCAGACATATCCAGGATGCGGCAAACTTTCCGAGCTTAGTAAGTGAGGCAGTGATCGTATCCTAAACATAAATTGTATGTGACATTTCAGTGTTATCTCCCACATGGTCTAGTGGCTAAGATATTTGGCTCTTATCCATGAATGCCCAGGATTGATTCCCAACGTGGGAATTTTTTTTTCTGAACAACACTGCTACCAAAACATCAAATTCAGTTTATTTATTTGGATTCAGAATTGTTACCTTACACTTTTAATCCAAATTTAACCTTATCAAGAAGCATCATAACCAATCAGAAATAATTCCAGACAGGAAATCTCTGTGGTCTCCTCTGGCTCTATCTTAAATCAAAAAGCGACGACCAAACCACATCTCGGCCAGTTAGCTGGAGAACAGCTTACAATATGTGCGTGGCCAGGCAGTCACAGCTAGGACTTTAGTGAGCGCAGTCAATAATAAAAACATTCAACCAACAGTCTCTATTCTTTCCTCTTTCCATTTTGTGGGCTGTTAAAGCACAAGGTAATAAGACAAAATCCAAATAAATAGTGTGTGATGTTCGGTAACAGCATTGTTACACCATCTTCAGATAAAAGTACTGAATCTATTTTGTGCCTTATCAGGGCTGTGTTAAAAAAATCATTAAAAAAAAACTATTATTATTAATGAACAAGCATGGTATATGTATGTCAGTGGGGAAGAGTTACTTGGTGCAGTTGAGAGGTCCGTCAAGGATGGCACTGGGGCTGAAGATGGGATTCTTCTCAAAGGACTCCAGGTTGAGGTGGAAGCCTGGAGGTAAGTGGTCCCAGGAGTCAAACTTGATGCCCCCACCCAGGGAGTAGGTTCCTGGGGGACAGGGCAGACATTCTAGGCTGCTCTTGTTGTAGTAGGTCCCTGCCTCGCAGGAGGTCGCTGTACACCACCACCATAAACCTCTTCATGTGTTGTTGTTTCTTATCCCCTTGTGTAAAGATTACATGAATTCCATGAGTCCATGCTCCTCGAGCTGTTTTATTATAAACAGCGGCCTCTCCCAAAGGTCCTGTTTAGTGCATCAAATGTAAGCCAAAATGTTTTCTGGAGCTGCAGGTGCCAAGCTACATTTTGGGCAAGTGGGGTAGATTTTATTATTTTCCATCTTCAATGATTTGAGATGGCCTGTTCTAAATCTTGTTAGTGTTGTTTGGTGCTATTTCTGAGACTCAGAGCTCCTCCTGGGTTCACTCCACTGTACCTCAATGACCACCGGCTTATGGACCGAAAGGTCTGGGAGGCCATCTGCTTCTAGGATGTACCTCCACTGACCTTAATGCAAACATCAACTATGGGGATGCTCCACACCTCTTGATGTGATAATCATAGTTGGTAGATTTGTGTCAGAGGTAGTAAAGATTCTGTATATGAGTTCAAAATGATTCCTGATCACTACCTTTCAAAAAACAGACCCTCCAACTAAACAAAAGGAAGTCGACACAGTTGGCCAGATGGAAATCTGGTCACCTGCGCCCTCTAGTCTATAAAGAGGGAGCCAAAAGCTTCCCCATGTGCACTAGGTGCAAAACCAAAGAGGCCACCCCCCAACATATACTAAATTGTATTGGAAAGGAAAAAGGATCCCTGTACAGAGAACCAAGAAAAGTTCTTGAACTTCTTTATGAGCACGACCTCCAAGATCTTGTCCAATTTAGACTAATAAAAGGATAAGTGAAAAAAAAAAAACTTTCAAACCAAGGAGGTTCCAAACAGTTTCCACTAGTATTTTTATCCTGTCTTTGCTGAAGTTGCATATATTGAACACAAAAGTAAGCATTTCATTCAGAGAAAGTACTATCCATTTCTAGCTCTAGAAAATGTAAAGAAAATTTTCAAACTAACTTCCAAGTATTGAGAGATACATCATATTCTTTTTTTTTTTTTATTAATTCATGAAACATTTCAATATAATTGGGATAAAAAAAGAGTAATCAAATGGACAAGAAGGTATTTTTTTTCAACATGACCCATTAAGAGGTTCTAGTGGGAGGGCATCGCAGAACTGACTTATTGGATCACTGCCAGGTCCTTTCAAAATTTTCTAACTCTGCCTTTGTCGGTCCCAAGCCTGGATGAAAAAGGAGGAGAAGGAGCAGTAACAAGCTCACTAAAAAACCTGGGCTCAGCTGGCCTGGCTGATAGTACCCTGTAAGAGCTCCTAATCCAGGGATACATGATGAGCAGCAGTTGTACTCCATGTTAGAAGCGGCTGCACATGGTGTCTGTTCCTCATGTTAGAGGCAGCTATTTTGGAGCTAAGTCGGCCTGCCACTGAGTAGTGCTCCCAGTCTTAATGACAAAGGCATTCTACTTTACCCAATAATATGAGAAAGAAGAATATTGTCTCACTGCAGTAGAGACAGCACGGAATTGTTTCCAGTTGAAAAAGCAGCATCAAACTAATTCCAATTATTCAAAACAAATGCTATAGCTTTATATATAATGCTTGTTGTCAGTGTGTATCAAGTCAAATTTTGGTGATTACATGGACAAATATTCTCTTATTTGATTTGTTGGTCCCCATCATTGGTGATAACACTACAGTCCTAACCTCTTTAATTCAACACCCCAAAGGATCAGAACTTTCAGTTGAATTAATATAGGTGTTGAATTATAGTAAATTTTAATGGCCTTAATGGGATTGAAAAAAAAAATGGATGAATTAAGGTAGATGTTGAAATTATAGTGGGTTGAATTAAAGAGTTTATAGTCTTCTTCTTCTTCTTCTTTCTTATCTCCACACTGGGTGAAGTAGAATGCGTCTGCCTTTGTCATTAAGACTGGGAGCACTACTCAGTGGCAGGCCGACTTAGCTCCAAAAATAAATGGCCGCCTCTGACATGAGGAACAGACGCCATGTGCAGCCGCTCCTAACATGGAGTACAAACGCTGCTCATCCTGTATCCCTGGATTAGGAGCCCTTACAGGGTACTATCAGCCGGGCCAGCTGAGCTCTGGTTTTTTAGTGAGCTTTTTACTGCTCCCCCTCCTCCTTTTTCATCTGGGCTTGGGACCGGCAAGGGCGGAGTTAGAGAGTTTATAGTGGATTATTAGAATTAAATAGAATTTATAAAAGAATATCTCTCAAGCAATGTTGTTATAGCTAAGTTTGGTACTGTATTCCTACAATGTTACTTACATAGCAAGCTACTAGAAAGTAGTAGGTTAAATACACCACAATAGACATGTAAACTAAGCACAGTAGTGGTTACATTCCCCAAGTAGTCAGTGTTAGAGGAAGGAAGAGAGACCACGGCAGAGAAGCAATGTTACAAAGGGAGTCCAACCACCAAGAGGAGGAGAAGAGCCGGCAAGGGAGACCAAAACATATCTTACCACAGCGAACTGACCAATCAAATGAAGATGTCTAGCAGCCATGGGTCGCCTTCAACCTGGCAACTCAGTGGGGTTAGCAACACATGATTAACATAGAGGAAGGACAATTACTCTAAAAACAACTTGAAGTTGACAAATTTAGCCCCTTTTCAAACTTAGAAGTTGACAAATTTAGCCCTTTTCAAACTTAGAAGTTGACTCAACAGCCCTTTGACAGGTATAACTACGCTGTTGAAGGGCTGTTGAGCCCAAAAGCTTGTATTGCCAATATATATATAAAAGCAACTCTTCCCTCAGCGCGAATGGTCTTTTATTTATAATTTTACCAAAGGGATTATAATATTAACAAGGTGATAAGACCAAATCTAAATAAAATTATTTAATTGAATTTTGTCTTATTACCTTGTGCTATAAAGTATAAAATAAGAATATAAACAGTAGCAATGCATTTCTTTATTCATGCAAAATATAAGCTTTTGGATCTTTCCTTCTACAGGCATAGCTATGGCCAGGGCATCATCAATAGTTGCTGGAAGGGGGAAGTAGTAAATGAGCTTTATATTGTTGTGTAACCACGGCGCGACCCTGAATGCCGGACACGTGGGCGCGACTAACACACGCCCGCTATCTTAACTAGCAAGGCTCACGATTTGGAATTTTTTTTTTTAATTTTAATTTAAAATTATTTTAAATTTTAATTAATTTTAAACTCTCTCTGTGAGTCATCGAACAACAGAGTTTGTCGAGAAATTGCACTTTGACCACGGACCAACTTTCTTGCTTGCTCTATTTATTTATTTTGTAGAGAATTTTGACTTAATTTCCATTTTTGGATCAACACAAAATGAAGACGGTCCAACCTGCACCGACCGACCCTACAGAGGACCGACCCCAAGAAGCTACAGACATCCCCGGACCAGCCCCAACCCTGGCACCAATAAAAAGTTACATCCCTTAGTACGGCCCTGTGACTTCCAGGCTCCCACACAACAATAAGTTTCTTTTATAGGTTGAATATTAATAGTGAAAGTTATTTTATAAGAAATTGCACTTTATATATATTTAGATATCTTTAAAGATAAATGAACACCATTTTTATGTTACTATAATTATTTTATTCTTTTACCATTCTTGCACACATACACATTATATCACAAGCCTTTGTAATGTACAAGATGATAAAAACATTTGATTCATTTCGAATCAAAACAGAGTTAAGTAATAATATATCACTGATATATTATCTTTAAACAAAACAGATCAGATCATATATGAGCATAGCTATGTCTGTAGAAGGAAAGATCCGAAAGCTTGTATTTTTCACGAATAACGAAATGCATTACTACTGTTTATAATCTTATTCTGTAACTTCGTATTAAAAAAAAAGAGAGAAAAAGCACCTTTTTTCTATCAGTGAGATGGCAAACATGATCAACTCACACTTGGAAAAAAAAAAAGTTCACCAATATCCTTGCTCCTAAACTTGAAGTTAAACATGTGTTTCACAAAGAACTTCCACAAATTGGTATCATTTACTAGAAGAGTTAGTGACACTAAACAAGCTAGTAAAACCTGCAATTCACAACCACCTGTCTTTTAATGAATTTTATAATGATGCTAGTACAGTAGAACCTCCTCTCTCAACTAGTTGCAGAGTGTTAAGTTTATATGTCTTCTTCTTTCTTATCTCCACTCAATCATATTAGGGTATCAAGCTTGTAGAGCTTGTTGATGGTGTCTGACAGGGAAGAGTAGAGCTCATGTGTTTTGGGGTTGCAGGTTGACACTTAGTACATAGTG